TTAAAAAATGGAAGCCCATGATTCATTGGTTGAACTACATTTGCTGTAAAAGAAGCAAAGGAAAGGCAGGCATTATAATTTCAAATATGTTTAAAAAAATTAGCATTAGCATTACGATCTACATAACTCCCTGTAAACAAATCCTGTAAAGCTTGTGTAATTGGTGAAAGTGGAGGCAAAGCTACCGTACCATTATGGCAACATAGAAAATGTGTTTCATCTGGAAACTTCTTAGCACCACAGTGCTGACAAATTTGATTCATTTCTCCTAAATAATTATAATCTGGAATAGCCTTACTTCTCGCTATAGAATACATTCGTCCTTGTCCAACAGCTTTTCTTTCATTTTGGCGACGATTAACATTATCTCGATCGAGCCTATTTCTTTCATTTTGGCGACGATTAACATTATCTCGATCGAGCCTATTTCTTTCATTTTGGCGACGATTAACATTATCTCAATCGAGGCTATTTCTTTCATTTTGGCGACGATTAACATTATCTCGATCGAGCCTATTTCTTTCGTTTTGGCGACGATTAACGTTTTCTCGATTAAGCCTATTTCTTTCATTTTGTAAATGATTAATTTTATCTCGCCTAAGTCTATTTCTTTCATTTCGTCTACGACTATTTTCAACACACCTTATAGCACTTACGTCATTTTGTAAATACATAACTTCATCTAGCCTATCATTCATTTCAATGTCATCATTTTGATTAAACATATTTATCAAAGCAACACTAATTATTACTTTTTTTTTACTTTTCTAAAATTAACAATAAAATAAAAAAACTTAATAAATAACTAAAAAAATCTTACTTAAAAAATTAAAAAAAAAAATTCTTATAACAAATATATAAAGAATCCAAACTAATGCAAAATAAAATTAATTTGCCATCATCAAAAGTAATACAGGTTTCTTAAGTTTATTTGATAGAAGTTATGAAAAACCTGCAACCATATTAGCAAAAACTTAATACAAAAAGTTAAAATTTATTCTGTTTCTAATAAAGAAAAAAAAATTTAGAAACAAACAACATATCTTCGCAGACAGCGTCATAAGGCATGCGTTGGGAGAAAACATTGAACAAAACGGGTAATAAAACTTATTAACGCGTTATGTACAATAGAAAACGGGTTATTAACGCAGGTTTATAAATTTTTTTCCCCCAACACACTATTACGCTGCCGCAACTATACGTAGTTATATATATATATATATATATATATATATATATATATATATATATATATATATATATATATATATATATATATATATATATATATATATACACGTATATATATATATATATATATATATATATATATATATATATATATATATATTATATATATAAATGTATATATATATTTATATATATATATATATATATATATATATATATATATATATATATATATATATATATATATATATATACATATATATATATATATATATATATATATATATATATATATATATATATATATATATATATATATATTATATATATATATGTATATATATATTTATATATATATATATATATATATATATATACATACATATATATATATATATATATATATATATATATATATATATATATATATATATATATATATATACATATATATATATATATATATATATATATATATATATATATATATATATATGTATATATATATATGTATATACATATATGTATATGTATATACATATATATGTATAGATATATATATATATATATATATACGTATAGATATATATATATATATATATATACATATATATATATATATGTATATATATATATATATATATATATATATATATATATATATATATATATATATATATATATATATATATATATATATATATATATATATATATATATATATGCATACATTTATGTGTCAATATTAAGTTGAAAATGCAATCACGTGGCATTGACCGTTCACAACATATAAATATACAATGGCTGTTGAAGGAGGAAACTGTGATAATATATGTGATAATGAATTTATAATGCTTTTGGAAATCTTCGAAAAAGATCACGAACTTGAAAATTATACTGAAACTATTTTAGAAGATGTGAGTACTTTCAAAATTGTAAAGTTTTGTTTGTGTAACTCATAAAAACCTTAAACACTTGTATATGCTAATACAGTATAAACAACTTACTTACCTAACATACATTAGAGTTTAACGTTTTTTACTTTGAGTTAAAATTTTGTTTATTTATTGTATTGTATTTAATGTATTAGTTTGATTGGATAATTAATTTAATTTGAATAAGATAAATGAATATTGTACCTTTCATACAGTTTTTTAAAATTGTTTTTAGCTTAACCCCGGAATGTGGACTTACTGCCATTACAATTGAGTTTGAACATATTTTATTTATAGCAGAAAAAATATTTCTTTAATATACAGAACAGTCCAAGCTTACTAAAAATATAGACATAGATTTTTTAATTAAAAAAACACTCTGTGATAAAGATTTGGATGAATATTACAGGGTTATTATTGAAAAATGTGATTTGAAAATTGAAAAAGATAGTCAAAAATCTACATTGCCTTTAATGCTTTATATTTTCAATTGCTTTATATTTTCAAGTTCGATGTCATTCGTTTGCTAAGGACATTGTTAAGCAAAAAGCAAAAAAAACAAAAACAAGAGAACAATCAAAGAAAGGATTACGCAAAAACATGAAACAATCATATAGACTAAAAGAAAACCTAAAAAAAACATAAATGTTTTTCGTTTTTTCTATTCTAAAAGAGTTTATTTTACAAAAGTAAAAATCGACTTTATATATTTGCAGTCAAAGAAAAGACTTGTGTTATTTGCTTATTTATATTCCTTTTATCTTTTTATTGTTGTATAATTTTTTTAATATATATATATATATATATATTATATATATATATATATATATATATATATATATATATATATATATATATATATATATACATATATATATATATATACTTTTGTTTTGTTTACAAGTTTTGAATATAAAGACTAGTTATAAAATCATGTTTTTTTTTTTTTTTTTTTGGAATTAAATCTTCAGAGATATTTATCCAAACATTTTTGTTGTCATATGAGCCTCTAGTATTTCCAGTATTAAGCGAAACACTATTTTGAATGCGTATTTCATTAGCATTATAGCCAAACTGTTTTGGCTATAATGCTCAGGGTTATCTGAATAGCGCCCAATTTTCCTTTGAGCACTAAAATATTCCTCAATTGGATCTTAGCAAAATCTACTTGTAAGAATATAAGGCAAACCCTCACTTAGCAGAAACTTTATAACTTATACTATTGAATTACATATCATCATTATGCCTTCATATGTCTGATGCGAAATAAACATTTTCGCTTTAGCCTCATAAGAGTATTGACAACCTGCTTTGTCTACTCTTTCATCAATAGATTTTTTCCAATTTTTAAAATATTCCAAAAAATCATTTAAAAGGAAATTAAACCGAGAATCCTTTTGGTCAGTGCATTTTTTAAGGAAAGGTTTCATTCTATGTTCTTCAATTGTTCTAGAATTAAGACTCGGTTTTGTGAAAAAATTTAATTTTTTCACAAAACCGAGCTGTCTCTGTATGTTCTTCTGTTCCAAATGTTTTTAAGACAGATGATACAGTTTGACTTAAAATTTGAGCAGCTAGTTTGACAGTCATAGCAGAGTAAGAATTTATTTGAATATGCTCATTAGTTAATTTAGGTAATAGTTTTAAACCATTGTCTAAATCTTCATAATACAATTGAGTTATGTGCTGCCACAATAAATACTTCCCGTCATTCCATAAGTAGCGCGTACATTTTCCGGCACCAGAATTTAATAAACAGTTTCGGAAGTTTTAATCAAGTGTGGTGGGTCAGCAAAAAAATAGATGTATCTAAATTTGGCATATAAATTTATTGTTTTAAAAATGACAGGAGTAATCATATCTCTACACATGTAATGGTGTAGTTTAATCATTGTTCTATTCGATGATGCGCCATCGGCTACGACAGAAACTAGATGAAGATTATATCTCTTCTCTAAAATGCATACTGAATCCCATAATAAACTAAATAACTATACTGCTGTGGCAGTGATGGTTGTAAAATATGCAAGCGAAAACTTAAGAGATATTGCAATACCACGAACCATGAAAACAAGGGCATGAGAGGCAAGTTCACATTTCTGTAGTGTAGCAAAGTTTAAGTCTGGGTTTCCCAAATCAACAAACCCAATCAGCTGATTACTATTCTTATCAAAAACCAGATTAGATTTAATTGACATCTCATCAATAAGAAGCACAACATATCTTTTAATATTTATATAATGTTTAGTTTGTCTACTTAATTCCTCAACAATGCTATCCTGATACCCAACTTTCGGTGGAATATAATTTTTATAATCTCTGAGTGTTCTCAGGCTTGGCAACACAAGTATTTTGCTATTTCTAATTTCTTGGTATGCAGAAGGTAATTTTGATGCGATGGATAAACAGTAGCTTATTATCATTGGATGATACCTAACTCCTGATGAGGAAACTCTAAACAACTTTTTTTGTTCTTGCCAAAACAAATTCATAAAGTCACTAATATCATGTTTAGCATCAGAGATAATTGAAAGAAAATCATTATGTAATTCACTGTCCATCATCACACTTGAGCTAATAAGCTCTTCTTGCATTGTTTTGATCCTAGCTTGCAATTGTGCACATTTCAGACGATGCTTTTGAATTGTTAATTTAAGTTTTGATGGTGAGGTCAAAGAGAGGGGCATTTAGTTTGGCTGGCTCATTGTGACTCTTTAATTTTTTATTTTTTAAATAAACAACTGATTTGTTTGTAAATATACATTTTTTACATCTGCTTGAGTCTTTAAGTAAAATGTCACAGTTAATATTTCTGTAATATGACACACATTGGAATGGAGATGTTTCTGTATCCCAATAATGTGGATTGTTTTTAAAAGGTATACAATGGTGAATGGTACTTGATATCTTTTCATGAATTGGTACACCTTCACATAACTGGTTACTTTCAAGTAAAGTAATTAAATTTTGTAATGATATATTTTGCATACTTCTTTTGTAAATTTTGTAAATGGTATGACTTTCAGGAAGCATCCATCCATATACAGACAAACTATATCCTAAACTATCATCTATGATTATTTCAAATTCTGGAAGAACAAGCTGATTTGAACCTCTTTTTAAATCACTTATTTCATTTTCTTTTACATCTGTTATCCAACCATTCAAAAGTTTTAAACTTCGTATTTGAAATTCTGTCTTTAAGTTTAACATAGCATTTGGTTGATATTTTAGTTGTAGATTCAATAGATTTCCTTGGCATTCCTTTTTTTTGGTAAAGTAGTGATACAACTTTTTATGGGAAGAAATAGACTTGGGATAACTCCATTTTTCATTATCTTTTTTGTCATTTTTGCACCAATGTCTTGAAAAAAATAGTTAATAAATATATCATACTATATATATATATATATATATATATATATATATATATATATATATATATATATATATATATATATATATATATATATATATATATATATATATATATATATATATATATATATATAATTAAAAAAAAAAACAACACTTGTGACATACGTATTTCAAAATCATCTGGCTTAAAGTGCTTTTCACAAGCAAAGACTTTCCCAGAATTGATTTGCATTTTAAATCGTTGGTCAATCACACGCCCTTTTGTAATTGAATTTAACCATTCAGATCGCCGTTTTTGATGAGCAGGATCTGCAGAATTTGAATGAGGAAGTTTAAATATTCCAACACCTTTTGTTCGTCTTGAAGTACCACAGTTTGTTATACTGCAATTATCTCCAGGCATATTTTGCTTTAAAATTAACACTGAATAAATATCTAATAACCAAAAAATCAATTACAAACAATCACTACATATAATATATAGAATGTAATAACTATTAAAACATATCATAATGAATTCATTGCGTTATATAACAAACTCTTGAGTTACTATGCAGTAATACTCAATAGTAAAGCATTTTATATTTGTAGAATACAATGAACTAAAATAAGTACTTTTTCCTTCATAAATGTTTGTAAATCACCTGTTTAAATATAATCTGACTTGAAGTACATCTCCAGGCTATCAACGAGTTTATAAAATAGTATTCAGTTATTTAATTTGCTCATTAATCTTAATGAGTAAACTAACTAAATGAATTTCTAATTTATAATCTAATAAAACAGAAAACGTGTTTGTTTCATGCTCACAATCCGCAATACATTAATCATTTTATTATCTCTGAAAATCTTTAAAAAATAGTTTAGAATCTATACTAACAATTTTACTTTTATTTTCAAGAGTTTATTTGATGAACTTCATGCCAAAATCAGATATTGTTATAAGCATTATACAATCTTGATAAGTTTGTTTGTGCACGGTCACGCTTGATTTACGCCCTATTTTTGTATCAATAAGTTAAACAATGAATTTTACGGAGTTTCTAAACCAGTTTAAGTCTATTAACTATGATATATATATATATATATATATATATATATATATATATATATATATATATATATATATATATATATATATATATATATATATATATATATATATATATATATATATATATATATATATATATATATATATATATATATGAAGGGTGCAAAGGGAAAACCAGTGATGTCACATTTTAACATTTTTTGAGTTATTATCCCAGCTATGTTAAAGATAAGTTTCTGCATCTTTACACAAATGGACATGAAAAAAAAAAGTTAAATCACACCTAAATTTTTATGTGAAAAAAGGGATCGCAAGGGGTAAACCAGAGATGTCCATATTGTTCAAGGGGTAAACCGGAGATGTCCAAAACCCTTTGCGCAGAATAGGAATTTTGCTACTTTTCAGCCAATCGGATTTGTTTTCGCCAAAAACATAATACTCTTATATTTGCTGAAATGGCGGACAAATGTCAGTATCCTGATATATCAGAAATTCCAAAAAAGAAAAAAAAACATGGTCGAAAGTGGGAAAGAAATAGAAATGAACGAATATCATCACATGTTATTGGTTTTCCGTGTCATTGCAAACGGTATAAGTGTTTTGAAGAAACGACAGTTGAAGAAAGGGAGTTTTTACTGTTGTACTTTAATAAAATGCAAAATAAAGATCATCAAGACAGTTTTCTTGCTTCAATGATTAAGGTTTTAAGTATTAAACGAAGAAGACCTCGGAAAAAAGAAGAAAAAAGGTTTCTTCGTGATCATTCATTCTCTTATTATATCAAAGTGGCACGAGGTAATAATATCGTAAGAGTTCCAGTTTGTATCAATGCTATCTTATCAATATTTGGCATTGGAAAATCAAGAATAGAAAGAATAAGAGGATCTCTTGTTAAGACAGGTTAGTAAAAATAAATAAACATTATTAACATGCAGTATTAAGTACTAATTATTCATTTGAATAAATAATACACACACAAATTTATCTTTTATAAAAGAAAGGACTTTGTCTGAATTTAAGCCCCTATAAATTATGATAAAATTTGATTTAATCAAGTTAAAACATAGAAACATAATAAGCTTGTACATTTGACTTTTTTAAGGAGTTCCTCCTTTAAACCAGCAAGGAAAACATACAAATCGACCTCTCGCCTTTTCAGGGAATATTGTAAATAGTATCATTGATCATATCAAATCTTTTAAAGGACGCCAAAGTCATTATGCTTTGCATGAAACTAGAAAGTTGTATTTGCCAGAGGATCTTAATTTATCGAAAATGTATAATATGTACAAAGAGCGTTTCCCACAAAATAAAGTTTGTCGTGAAAGCTACAGGTACTTTGATAACATTTATTTGCTTATTTATGAGTTTTATTTCATATTATCGAATTGTCTACTTTTCTTATCAGGAAAATATTTGCAGAAAAATTTAACATCAGCTTTGGTTATCCTCGTAAAGATACTTGCTCAACATGCGACAAGCTCAATATTATACTTGAAAATCAAGACACTGCTGCAGATCATCAGATCATCAAAGCTAGTCACGAAAAAGAACTTCATTTGCGAAAAGCAGAAATGTTTTATACCAGAAAGAGAGAAGCACGTAGTAATTTAAAAACTGGTCATGTAGCTCTTGCTTTTGACTTTGCGAAGAATATGAGTTGTCCTAATGTTTCTACAAATGATGTTTATTATCGTAGACAGCTCTCTATGTACACATTTAATATACACTGCTTAGGTTCAAATAGTGTTCACTTGTTTTGTTACGATGAAACTTATGGGCAAAAAGGAGCGGACAATGTAGCGAGTATGCTGGAGTACTATTTTGAAGACATTATACCAAAAGATGTATCTCATTTGCAGCTTTTTTGTGATTCCTGTGCTGGGCAAAATAAGAACTGGACTGTTATTCGTTTTTTGCACTTCAATGTTGTGAATAAAAAACGGTTTCACGAAATAAAGATATCTTTCCCAATAAGAGGCCACAGCTACATGGAGTGTGACCGAGATATGGTGTTAGTTAATCAGAAGGTTCGAGCAGAGCTACCAGTATATTGGATGGAAGAATATCATACCTGTCGTGAGAAACCTTCGCCATTTAAAATTATCAAGATGGAACTGAAAATGTTCTTTAATTTTTCTGATCATATGAAACAATTTTACAAAGTTAAATGTCCAATACCAACACGTCCTATACGTGAAATAATTTTCTCTCAAGATTTTCCTACTGTGTTACAATACAGATTTAATTGGAATGGACCTTTTGAAAGAGTTGTCATAACAAAAGCTATAGGAAAAAAGAAGCAGTTATTGCGAAAACCCCTCACACGTTTGTACAACGAGAGATTGCCGATCAGCTGTGCCAATTATGCGGACCTTCAAGTTCTAAAATATTTTTGCATGCCAGAGGCCCAGCAGTTTTTTAACGACCTGCCTTACAAAGGTCAGTTAAGTGATGATGAATTAGTATCAGAATTGTCTAAATATGAGTCAATTTAAATTACTGTAACAGTTAGTGATTAAAGGAAAAAGATAAATTTATTTTGAAGTCATACTAAATTTTGTTTTTACATAATATTTATTACTATATTATTTTAAACATAGTAGTATATTTTTAAAAATATATTAAAAAAGACTTGATTTTTCAACAGTAATCATTTTTGTATTATAAATCTTAAAATAAAATCGAATTCTTTTACACTCTTTAACGTACATTTTTTTTAAAAGCAAAATTGTGTTAGATAATTCATTATTTTAGACTGGGGGTGGAAAGTTGTTGAAATCTGGATTAACCAAATAAATTTAATACATATTTTTTTTTAAACATAATATTACAGAAAAGCTTATACAACAACTTATAGGCGGTATGTGATAATAAATCCCTTTTGGAGTTTTTTTTTTTTTTTTTGCACCTTCTTGCTTTCCCTGACAGTGCTTATTATTTGAATTAAAAAAATTTAAAATTAAACATAACAGTCATGCATTTGAATGTATTATAAAAAAAATTGAACATTGTTTGGTTTCTAAATTTAAAAAAATCCAATTGCAAGGGGATAACCAGTGATGTCCAAAAATGACACCGAATCCAAGATTCAATGCAGCATGTATAACTTACATTCACATTTCAAAATTTTATGCCAATATATCAAGTAATAGATCGTACTAATTTAAAAAATATACAAATATATATGGAGCTGGTCATAGCATGTAATATAAGTCTTCAAACCTTATTTTTCCGTTTTCTCAAAATGAAAAAAACGTGACATCACTGGTTTTCCCCTTGCACCCTTCATATATATATATATATATATATATATATATATATATATATATATATATATATATATATATATATATATATTTCATTTTATTGCATAAAACAATTTTCATTACCATGGAGATGTTTATAGATCATAAATTTCAGTTATCCATTTTGTGAGATGGCGACTAGTGATAGTCAAAACATGTATTGTTTAGAATTAATAAAATGGTTTTATTAATTAAAAAGTTTGTCTTGTTTATTAAAATATTATTATTTTTTGTGTAAAGAAATTTAAACACAAAAAAATGGGGCCTAGGCCCCCCAAAAAAATTATTAAATTATAATTACTAGGGAAAAACATATATTTTTTAGGGCTTTTCCCCTGCTATGATTGGGCCTCTCCCTATCTCTGGGCCCAATCATAAAAAAAAAAGAAAAAAAAAAAGGGTTTTAATATGTAATATGCGCCACCCAAATATGAAAATTGTGGTTACGTTTCTGATATTTCTGATATATATATATATATATATATATATATATATATATATATATATATATATATATATATATATATATATATATATATATATACATATATATATATATATATATATATATATATATATATATATATATATATATATATATATATATATATATATATATATATATGTATATATATATATATATATATATATATATATATATATATATATTGATATTGTATAAAATATATATATTTATATATAAATATATATATGCATATATATATATATATGCATAAAAAAATATATATTTATATATATATAACAATCTTATATATATATATATATATATATATATATATATATATATATATATATATTGATATTGTATAAAATATATATATGTATATATAAATATATATATATATTTGTATAGATTTCGATATATAGAATATATTCGAGGTTAAGTATTTTGATGTAAAAATACGAAGTCTCTTGTACGTGTTACAGTGCTCAATATTACTGAATGATAGAGCTATATATTATTATATTTAGATGAATAAAAACAACTGATTAGCGGGACTTAAAGTTTCATGCCCGAACGGCTGATGATTGCGTTTGGGCATGAAACTTTAAGTCCCGCTAATCAGTTGTTTTTATTCATCTAAATATAACTATATATATATATATATATATATATATATATATATATATATATATATATATGTATATATATATATATATATATATATATATATATATATATATATATATATATATATATACATATATATATATATATATATATATATATATATATATATATATATATATATATATATATACATATATATATATATATATATATATATATATATATATATATATATATATATATATATATATATATATATATATATATATATATATATATACATATATATATATGCTTTATTTGCTAAAATAATTAAAATTATTTGAACAAAATTTCAAACAAATTATAAATAAGTAGTTTTTTTGAGTCATTTAATTAATTTAATTTAATTTAGAGGATGATAATAAAGTGATTGATGAAGTTATGACCATTTTAAAATTGTCTCATGAAGTAAAAGTTATAAAACGACTAAAAAAGAAAAATGCATCACTTCCTACACCTTTTATTTCTAAATTTTACCAGTCAATTAAATGATGTATTTTTGCGTCCCCCATTGCACAGTGGGAAATCACATGGTAAAAAATCACAAAAGTGACTTAGTTCAATCATTATGTCTGATTGTGGGTTTTGTAACTATTACCCTCACTAAGAATTTTCCAATTTATGAAATTCTAAATGTGACAGGTTCAATGGTAGTGGCTTCTTAAAGTTAGGTTTTTAATGAATTTTCGATTAAAACTCTCAAAATGCTGGATTTTAGTAACTACTTTTTTTTAATATATAGATCATTCCAAAATTGAGAATATACACATCATTGGAAAGGTTACAGTATAGACTGTTAAAAACAAAAACAAAACTTTCTTAAAAAGGTTGGTAATACAATTTTTAGCATTGAAAGTAAAAATTTCATCACAAAAATACTAAGTTTTAACTAAAATACAACATTTTTTTTTTATTGAAAAATATATAAAAAAATATGTTAAAACTGATGAATACATGACTTATAAATTAATTTTATTGAATACATAGTTAATAAAAGAGGTTCAATGTATTTTTATAAAGTTTTTCTACTGTTGTAAAGGTTCGCATTTCTTTGTCATTATTGATAAAAATTTGGCACTTATTAGACAAGCATTTGGCATTTTAGCGCAAAAAATATCTGGCAACGCTGTTTGAAAATGTAAATAATGGTTTTAAATACATTGTTACTTGGATTCAAGTCAGAATCAAGTCAAAACAAATGTATTAAGAAAGAGATTAAAACAAGCTCTTGCAAAGTATGTTGCACTATGGCATGCATCATATTAATAAAAAAGAAATTTCTAATAGTATGATTCAAGTTTGGCTTAATTAAGTTTTTAAAACAATTGATTTAGTTGAATCACCAGCTAATCAAGAGAGTTTAATAAATCAATCAGTAAAAGAGATCGACCAAAAAAAAGGTCTGATGAATCAAGTTCTTGAACCAAAAGACGATTATTAGCTAATATATCATTTGATTCAAAAACGGAATCCGTCAAAATATTGTTAAAAAGGACAGCATTTATTAAATGTGACTATAATTAAGTCAAATTACAAAGGACAGCATTTATTAAATGTGACTATAATTAAGTCAAATTACAAAGGACAGCATTTATTAAATGTGACTATAATTATGTCAAATTACAAAGGACAGCATTTATTAAATGTGACTATAATTAAGTCAAATTACTTTATGTCGTTACAAAGAAAGCATTACGAGTCGTTATTGCTTTACTCTCAGCTAACCACATTGCAAGAGAAAATGACGACTGAAGAAGCTTTTGCATATTTCTAACTTCTAAAATAAAAAACGAGTGCTCACCTTTAAAAGCATCCATTAAAGTTACTGAAGCAAAGGCCAAAGTTAAACTACAGGATCTTATGGATCACACATCCAAGTGGCTTGCAAAACTACAAGAAAAGAAAACTTTAAATTGTTGGGTTATAAACTTAATATGATAATAACTTTCAGAAAATAAAATATTATTCGATGAAAGTTGAAACCTGCCAACGAATTTAAGTTTAGTATAAGGTAGCAACAAAATTCTTTTTTTGGACTTATTGCCGTCATATTTAGGTGGGGGAGGGGCTTAATTTTGGGGGTATTTTTGATCTCGGGCTTCAATCACCGCAATTTTTTTGCAAACCATTATACTTAAACTTAAGCATGAACATAACAAATTTGGGACCGTGGAAAATTATCCATTATTAAAACAATGTCTAAAAGTATCACATATAAAAAAACCAATTGGTGCGCCAGTGTTTAAATGGATTTCCCCAGCCCCTTTGATGCGCCTATAAGCAAGTTAAACACAAAAATAAAAATACTATATTAAGTCTCTATTTTGCTCAAATAAGGCATAATATCTGCATAATACAACAATTATATTTTTGGCCACCTATTTCAATGGAATGTTTCCACTATGCATTGGTGTTAATTGAATTTAAGGATTATGGAAAACGTCAATTAGATTTGTATAACGCAAGAGAGTTAAAAAACAGTTCTTGTTTCACAAAAGATTATTTCAGACCGGACCAAACCGAAAAAAAACGGATAGCTCTATCTAAACTTTATGCTGAATGTAGAATTAGAAATAATGCTCTTTCAAATTCATTTGAAGGTCTGCACGGGAGGAAACTTAATTGGGGCATTAGAGATAGTAAAAACGGTTTCTGGTCTGTGTGATCTGTCTGAACTCGATGGATTGAACAAAAAAAATGAAACAACAAACAAAAATGCTAACAGTTCTCTTACTCTATTGTCTACTTATTCTTTATCTCAACTCAAGTGTCTTTATTTTAATCCAAAGTCTTTAGAAAATAAGTGGGAAGAATTCCAAGCTAAAATTGTACCATTGGTTTACCCATACATCATCATTGCAATTACAAAAACGTGATTCACTTCTACATCATCATTGCAATTACAAAAACGTGATTCACTTCTACAAAACAATTACACTGCGTACCTTTGAAATAGGACAATTCGTGGAGGTGGTTTGGCCATATATGTTGAAAAGATATACCTTAATTTAAACGATAAACAAATGGGTGAGCAAATTTCTATTGGAAATAATATCTTTTTAATTGGATGTGTTTATCGCCATCCGTTTACTTAAAATGAGTCTAGTTTACAAATTAATAAGTCAATCAAATGTGTTAAAGCTCTAATTGATGGTGGGAAATTTACAAGAGTTCTTATTCTGGGTGATTTTAATGATAGCAATATCAGGTGGAGTGATTTGGTTGGCCAATGTAAAAGTGGAAAGCAGTCTAGTCAACTTTTTTTATATACTATAAATGATTGTTTCCTATCACAGTTTGTCACTG